GAAGGAGGTCATCCGGGACCGCGGCCGTTGAGACACTCTGTAAGGTGATATTTGAATTCAACCATTTATCAGTCCAGAACTTCACCGTCACGCCGTTACGAATGGCCCAACGTGCGCCGCCAATTAAAAAATCAAAACTAAAATGTTTAATAACATTCATTAAATTAAATATGTTGTGTAAAGAGAAATGTTTAATAATATACAATTTTTCATTGTTTTTATTATTTTTATTCTGTAATGAGATGTGAAGTGAAAAATCTAAACAATTATATTTAAAATAAAATCTTTAAAAAAATTTAAAATATGAGATTTTACTTTTCCTAATGGCTCGGTTTGTCTCAAAGCCGTAGCTAAAATCTTGCCGCATGTCACGAGAGGGGTTCGTTGGGCCCTAGGCAACGGTCAGCGAGTGCGCTTTTGGTTAGATGTGTGGTTAAGCGCCTCAGTTCCTTTAATCACCATGGCAACTGGACGGATACCGGAGGAGTTTCTACAGGCTCCGGTGGCAGACTTCGTTATGGCAACGGGCGACTGGTGGTGGGCGAGATTCGAGCAGTTTTTGCCGTCCAATTCCCTCCTCCTAGTTGCTGCTATAATGCCACCACGTGCAGAGGCGAGAGCAGAGCAGATGATCTGGAGATACACGCTGACCGGTACGTTTTCGACAAGGTCAGCTTATGAAGCATTGGTGTTGAGGACACCAGACAGCGTTAACCCGTTATGGAGAGTGATTTGGCGAGCGCCGGTGGTTCAACGGGTACGCCATTTCCTTTGGCTACCTAGCCGAGACTGATTGTTTACCAACAAAGAGAGGGCTCGTCGACATTTGGCAGGAGGAGATGCATGTGTTTACTGTGGCCAGACCGAGTCGACGACCCATGTGCTTAGGGACTGTGCAAACGCGAGTCATATTTGGAATGAGCTAATTCCGAATTCGATCCGAAATACATTTTTTATCCATGACACTCGAGATTGGATTTGGCATAACCTGGTGGGTTCCTCGACGGTTGGCACGGCGAGTTGGGCAACCTTGTTTTCAATAACATGTTGGCGCCTTTGGTATTGGAGGAATCTGGCTATTTTCTTGAACAATACTGTCCCTCTTGGGACCAAGGTTCAGGACATAAGGCGGCGGGTGGAACAATATGTGAGCATCATGGAGGGGGAAGCCAAGTTGGGGATTCAGGAGCACAATTATGAGACGATTATGATTCATTGGTCTCCTCCACCGGTGGACTGGGTGAAAGTTAATACGGATGGGGCTCTTTGTACCTTTACCGGTAGGGGTAGTGCTGGAGGATTAGCGCGAGACTACAATGGCCGTTGACTTGGTGGATTCCTTATAAATGTGGGTATTTGTACCATCACAGGAGCGGAATTATGGGGTCTTTATCACGGTCTTCGTGTAGCTTGGGATTTGGGTGTGCGCCGAGTGCTGGTGGAAGTTGATAATAGCAGTGTCGTAGCCATGGCATTGGGTAGTGAGGTTAATCTTGGCCTCCATGAGTCCATTATTCAGGCTATTCGTGAGCTACTCAGCAGGGAATGGTGTGTTAGATTGTCCCATATATATCGGAAGGAAACTTTGCAGCTGATAAGCTAGCGGCGTTAGCTACTGGAGTTCTGGTTGGATTACATCATCTTAGTTCCCCACCGCAAGAGCTCGACCATTAGCTGAGTCATGATATCTTAGGCGTGACTTGGCCACGTCGGGTGCTAGTCTAGTCCACCTTAGGCTTCGGCCTCCTATATTGTATCAAAAAATATATATATATATATATATATATATATTCTTTGACCACCAAAAAAGTCCAAAACTTGGTAAAGAAACTTTTGTGCATCGACGACCATAACTCAAAACGACGTCGCCATGTGGAAAGGAAAAGGGTTTCGTTTCCATTTGGGCAATCAAACACCAAACAACAAAATGGGAAGGAGCGACTTTATATACATACATGGTTTGATTTGATGGCCGTAAGGCCTCTTCAGTTCATCTCGTCTCTCCACCACCACCACCACCGTCACCTGTGCTCCCAATCCTCTCTCGTACGCCACATCTCAGCCCGAGCTCAAACTTCGCCGCCGCTTTCCTCCCTAATACAGCGGTTCAAATTACTCCATTACCAGTCAAAAGAAAAGCCGCAGTTGACCACCGCTAGGCGCAGCCCCGTCGTACCAGTTCCAGATAATATGGCGCAGAAGATCGGGAAGGCGATTAGGCGGCCTGGAGCCCCGTCCAAAGCGAGGGTCTATGCTGATGTCAATGTCATCCGACCTAGGGAGTATTGGGACTACGAGTCGCTCACTGTGCAGTGGGGGTAGTTCTTCATTAGGATTTCTCTTTTATTTAAAATATTCTGTTTGTTTAGCTCGTTGGTTCTGTCTAATTATGTTGGGATTTGACTCGTTGATTGCAACAGTGAGCAGGATGATTATGAAGTGGTCAGGAAGGTGGGAAGGGGAAAATATAGCGAGGTCTTTGAAGGTGTTCACACCACTAACAATGAGAAATGCGTAATCAAAATTCTTAAACCTGTCAAGAAGAAAAAGGTAAGCTGTCCTTTGTTCTCTTCCCTTTCTCGTTTTATTTTCCCCAATTTTGTAATTATTTAAATTTATTGACTGATAAATTTGTCTGTTCTTTTTCTTCTTGGTTTACTTGTAAATTCCGTTTCTTGAGGTTTATGAACAATGCTTGTGATAACCGAGACCTGGCTGAACATTGCTCGTTGGGAGCTTGTACTTTTTGCTGTTTATGAATTAGCCAAGCAATCACAATACATCTTATTCAACTCTGCAAATGCTAACAAACAAATAATGTGCTTGTTAACATAATGAATTTTATGCAGAAATTGTTATTGGATCTCTCCTGTATGATGTCTCATGTAATGTTTTCTGTTAGACTTCCTGATGACATCATTTGGTAATTGGTATCTCTTTTTGTACAAAAGAATTTTTATGGCCTTTGACAATCATATTTCCCTGAACTTATCCAACGCAGTATTATGATTAATATTGTCATCTCTATGCAGATCAAAAGGGAGATTAAAATTTTACAGAATCTCTGTGGTGGGCCAAATATTGTGAAGTTGCTTGATATTGTGAGAGATCAGCAATCAAAGACCCCAAGTCTTATATTTGAACACGTGAACAATACCGACTTCAAAGTGTTGTACCCCACACTTTCTGACTTTGATATTAGATATTACATCTACGAACTTTTGAAGGCAAGTCTCTTCTTTTATTTTGGATTTAAAGATTCTGTATGCTCCTCCATAGTGGAATATTTATTTATTTCTTTATTTTTCTTGTCTTCATATTTAAGTTCCATTTCCGTACGCTTTAAATTGTAACCTGACGTTTCTTTTCAACTTGAGAAAGTCAGGCGAATGTTTTGTTGTACCCCTATCCTTCACCTATTTTCTCTGAAGGTACCTCTGCTTGGCGATGAGCTCTGTTGTAAATTAATTCAATGAAGCCTAATTTATTATAGGGATCTGCTAAATAGTTAATATAGCTTCTGAAATTGATTTGGAACTTAAAGCTGCTTTACTTGATGGATCTATGCCATATTTCCACTAATAATGGGGAAAGTGAATCTTCAAGATCCTGATCATTCTCTCTGTCAGGGGAGAGAAAAATAGTGAGGATCACTTGACAAGCTCTTGTATGTGCTACTTTTATTCCCTTTAGGGACCCTGTTAACTTTTAGCTAACATTCTGCTAGTTTGGCTCTACGGATTGGATTGAGTATCATTATATATCGAGTACTGATGAATCTTGTGGTCATTTGCTTGTTTGTATGTATATTAGCTCCTCTTTCTACCATACAAACCCGAAGTTCATGCTGGTCTTTAGCTCTTTCTGCTCTGATATCAAGTTTTGAGTTAATCTTATGAAAAAATATTAAGATTTATCCTGTACTTTGTCGTGCAGGCTTTAGATTATTGCCATTCTCAAGGGATCATGCATCGGGATGTGAAACCCCACAATGTGATGATAGATCATGAGCAACGAAAACTTCGGCTTATAGATTGGGGTCTCGCTGAGTTCTATCATCCTGGGAAAGAGTATAATGTCCGTGTTGCTTCTAGGTTTGTCATCTGTTGTGTATCTTAACAAATGCAAACGGGTTTAGCATATTGTACTAACTATATTTGAGGTATTTTGTGTCTGACAACTGACATATTGTTCTTTTATTGCCTGGAGATTTTGAATTAATCTAGTTATATCTTGTTCAGAGTTTTTAAAAAGTGGACACATTAAATTTCTGTGCCCATATTGAAGTAAAAGTTTCATCAGAATGAAGCACAGTATTTTTATTGTGGCTGACTCCTTTTTCTTTTAGCTATGGTTTAAGAGCTGCTTAACTGGTTCTCCAAGTGTATATTGATTATTGTCAAATTCCTTTTGATTTGATTTTATTTTTGTTCTTTTTGACATCATTCTGGGAGTTCCAATTACTTTTCTTTCCCATGTCCAAAATGATATTTTCCAGAATGCTTTTACCAAATTTATTATATTTTGTATTTAGTTGTTCAAGAGAATGATTGGATGTAGCTAACTAGGACCTCTAATATAAGTGAAGGGAACCAGGGAATGAACTTGGTGCCTCTTTTTACGTTTGTGCCTCTTTTTACGTTTGTGGTTGATGTATTAGCAAATTGTTTAATTGATTTTAGAGTAGCCTCATCGTGATGAATGAGATCCACCTGCATGCATGGATAGCTATTGTTTAGTTACAAAATAATAAATCATTACACCTGAACATGGGGTGATAGTATTGTGAGAAACGTTGAAAGTAAAATTTCAATTTCAATTTCATGAAGTTTGAACCTAAAGCAGTAAAGATGGGCTAGTGAATGATTGTTAAGGATATATATGGAGGATGGAATCACTTGTCACAGTGTTAAATTTATCTTTTTCTCTGTGAACTCTTCATTTTTGTGTTTTATTGTTCGCGATATTTTATTCACCCTATGAAATCCTAGCCATAGATAATGTAACTATACTGATTGTTTCTTATTATTTCGTCATATAGGTATTATACTAGTATCTGGGTAGTTGAACTGCTAAAGTATATGGGTATTCCTTGATGGGGAGATGGAATTTGGCTTTAGATGAAAGTTAACTTGGTTTCTAGATAGTGATACTCAAGGACTAGAGCAGAGAGATCTTTTATTTTGTTTCATTGTTTTACTTAGTTCATTGAGTTAGGTTTAATCCAATTCCTGCTATGCTCAGTGATCTAGAGGTTCTTATTCGAGTAATGATTATCAACTGGTCACCATATATGGTTTTGCATCGATGTCATTCACTTTTCCTGAGGTTCTTAATGATTGATGCAAAGCGTGAACTTTGGTATGACGACGGTATATTAGGGTTTGTTCTATTGCTTTTAGCTCTGTGCTAATTTTTCATACCTGTGATTTTCTGGCCTCCAAGTGCAGATATTTTAAGGGCCCTGAACTTCTTGTTGATTTGCAAGACTATGATTACTCGTTGGACTTGTGGAGCCTGGGCTGTATGTTTGCTGGAATGGTACGATTTTCCCTCTATTCTCGATCGTATATGCCAATTCCTATTCCATTACACATGCGCCCTACAAGACTACTTAAGCATGTATTGGGAACATATAATCATATCATTAGGTGGACTTCCTCCATTAAAAAAAATAAAAAAATGAACATCAATTGTCACGCTCTTGCTACTTTTAGATCCTATCACCAGATTATTATTTATTTTATTATTTTGTATATTTTCTCATAACTATGTTTTTTCACACAGATATTTCGCAAAGAGCCTTTCTTTTATGGGCATGATAATTATGATCAACTAGTCAAAATTGCAAAGGTATGCTAAACCTTGTAAAGATTTTATTATTTTAATTGCACGGCTGTGACTTTTTCTCTATTGGTATTATTCACGCTGCACACTGATGCACCTGCTATCGATGCTTCAAGAATTTGCTTTTTTTATTTTGGGATTTGAACTAATGTGCTTGAATTTATGCTAATAGTTTTGTTGCATTTGTTATTTGCCCTTTTTGTTAGGCATTCACTTTGATAAATGAAGTCACATGGTGATGCAGAAGAAATATATTTATTATTATTATTATTATTATTATTATTATTATTATTATTATTATCATTATTATTATTATTATTAAATAATGATTAGCTTGGGGAATAAGCTAAGTTTAGGGTTTGGATGTCTTATTTAAAGACCTCTCTTATTTGTTTTATTCGTTATTCGACAGTTGAATTTGAAATGAAATATAGATATTGTTGAGTTTTGTGTGTTTTACGAGAGAGTATCTCGTTTACTCGTATTTTTCCCTTTCGTTCATGCTTTCGCTACATCAGTTGGTATCCAGAGACCGGGTACGTTCCACGATGCCGCCAATGAGAGGAAACAACAACGATCCTACCATCTACGACCGATTGCAACGGATGGATGAACGGATTCACAGTATGGATGATCGGGTTGATGAACTTTCTATGGGGATCGACGAATTACGCCAGACAATGAATACCATAATGAACGAGGTACGTACGAACCGCAAAGAGGCTGGCCGGGGCCATTGCGGAGGGATACACGGAGGTAGTGGGGGTCGAGGTTATGGCGGGACGCTCCGCCGACGATCACCACCGCCACCGCTAACCGGTGATGTTTTTAACGAAATATCGATGGACCAAAATCAGACCCACGACTTACAGTGGAGTAATGTTTTCGACAAACCTCCACGCAGGGCCGATGGCGGCGTGCAGGGAGGACGTGAACGGGGTCAAGGACCTGCGGCGGTGGACGGCGGATTTCTCCGCCGAGGCGCGTGTCAGTCCGACGATGGACTATGGGAGGACGCAGATGGCGCGCGATGTTGGGGCCGCGGACCGGGGCCGATTGCAGGAGACCCTCACCGGGTTCTGTTCGAGGATCTCGGGGAATACGAGAATCTTAGGGCAGCGGGAGGTCTTCCTCGTCGGGGATAGTTTTGGGATGGCGATGGCGATGGAGGTGGAGGTCGGGGCCGTCAGCAGCGTGAAGGCCGTGGAGGTGCAACAGGCGAATTTCGGCAAATTTTGGAGGACGATGATGATGTTGATCCTATGGCGGTGGCGGGATTTCAGCGGCAGATTTTGGGGGACAACATTGATGAAGGAGATTTATCTCCATTTGGGTCTGCAATTTGTTGGCCCAATTTGTTTAATTTAGACAAAAGAAGGGCTGAATTTGTTCCACATTTTGGGCCTGCACAACCACAAAATGGCTTTGACTGCGAGTTGGAAGATTCCACAAATTACAAACCTGACACGTGCGATATTTACGACGGTCCTCCTATTTTTGATGAAGAACCTCCGGTGCCGGAGATACATATTGACGGCACTTTGGGCTCCACGTGGGACCTCGTCAAGATTTTCCCTTCGACAGAACACCCATCGTTTGGACCGAATTTTCAACATATTTTTGCGAAGGATGGTTTTTTGGACGCGCCTTCGGGACTCAATAGCGGTTGGGACATTGTTGGATTGTTTGTTCCGAAGGCTTCCGAGATTTTGCATGGGGAAGTAGGCCCCTTTGCTTTTTCGACCGTTGTATACTTGCCCGAATTTTTTGTTCGCCGGTGCGTTGGACGACCTTCAAGCTTCGTGTTCGATCGGGGAAAATCTGGCCTATTCCTGTCCTGGTGACTTCTTCAACGGGAACGAGTCGGATTCGAGGTTGAATCCTGTTCAATCGGGGGAGAATGATGAAGAATATATATGTTTAAAATTATTATTATTTTTATTATTATTATTATTATTATTATTATTATTATTATTATTATTAGTTGCTTGGATATTAAGCTACGGTTGAGTTTGAAGCCTTTATTTAAAGGGCTCTTCTGTTTTGGTGATGAGGAGTTGAATTTGAGAATGAAAAATTAATCGTGTTCTTTCGGGTGTATCCCAAGTTCGAGAGAGTATCTCGTATTGTATCTTTTCCCTTTCGTTCACGCTTTCGCTACATCAGTTTGGTCACTTGGTGGGCTCGTTTCGTGCTGACTTTCCTGACTTTGACAAAGATCACGATGACGACCCAATTTACGACGGTCCGCCCATTTTTGATGAGGCTCCGGTGACGAAAACGGGTCCCGTATGGGATGTTGCAACGATTAAGTCTTCAAATGGGAAGCTGTCATTCACACTCGATTTTTTGAGTATTTTGGCCAAAGATGGTTTTTCGGAGCCGAAGCCGATGCCTGAAAACTGGTGGGCCATTTTTCGATTGTCTTTCGCGAAGTCTCCCATCAACGGGATGCTTGACCATTGTTATGAATTTGAGCGCGGCGACCGTTGTGGTATATTTGCTGTTCATTCTACTCTGCGGGATATGCATATGGAGGCATGTACGTGTGCCTTTACATTAGCTCATTTCTTGCACACGCTTATGTTTACCTTCGATGTGGTTGGGCGTTCTTCAAGGTTCGTGTTTGATCGAGGACGAAGCGGGACACACTTCTCCAACGGGCACAGGTCGGATTCGAGGGCGAATCCTGCTCAACCGGGGGAGAATGATGGAGAATGATGCAGAAGAAATATAATTTTTATCATTATTATTATTATTATTATTATTATTATTATTATTATTATTATTAAATAATGATTAGCTTGGGGAATAAGCTAAGTTTAGGGTTTGGATGTCTTATTTAAAGACCTCTCCTATTTGTTATTCGACAGTTGAATTTGAAATGAAATAAAGATATTGTTGAGTTTTGTGTGTTTTACGAGAGAGTATCTCGTTTACTCGTATTTTTCCCATTCGTTCACGTTTTCCCTACATCATATGGTGATTGGCCATATTGGCAGGTGTTGGGCACCGATGAGTTGAATGCTTATTTGGACAAATACAGATTGGAATTAGACCAAAACCTTGCTGCCCTTGTTGGAAGGTCAACTTTTTATAACTTGAGTTCCCTTATTTTCAAGTTTTTATTTTAATACAAGATTATTATCTTCTGGTTTGTCTATCCAGGCATAGCAGAAAACCATGGACAAAGTTTATTAACTCGGATAACCAGCACGTGGCTAATTCTGAGGTAATCCATAAGCTAAATGGCTACTGAATACATCAGAAGTATATAATGAAGTTGCCGCGGAATATTTTAGACTGATATTTTTTTTTTTTTGTGTGTGTGTGTGTGTGTGTGTGTGTGTGTGTTCTTCAAATAATCTATAGGCGATCGACTTTGTTGACAATTTGTTGCGATATGATCATCAGGAAAGGCCAACTGCAAAGGAAGCAATGGTAAAGTCTTTGCCTTCAGCTGGCCTACTCAATCTTAGTTACTGTAATTTTTCTAGCTTTCTTTTCTTTAACTTTAGGCACACACTCGTAAGGAATTCCTTATCATGACAATGTAATTCATATAATTCTTAATCGTGTCTGATCCACTAATGCCCCAATTTTATCATATGAAATGTAACTGTTGGATGATTGTTGCAAATTTTTCAGGCCCATCCTTATTTCAACCCGGTAAGGAATGCAGAAGGCCGCCGAAACCGTGGCCAATAGGATTTGAGCATTGTGCCTTCGAGTTATCGATGCTTATGTCTTCTTTCTCAAGTAAAACTAAGCATAATTATTTATACTTTTGATTTAGTTGTCTTGTGCTTACTGTCCATTTCATCGGTACATGTTTTTCTCAGATTTCACTTTGAATCTCATATTGCTTTTCCGGTGTAGTTGTAGAGATTGATGGTTTGTTGTAACGATTGTTGTTTCTGAAGTTAAAGACCTGCTTGAGGAAAGTCCACAAATTTGAGATTTATAAGAAACGTGTGAAGTTTAATCTCTTTGATAGCCTTTGTGTGCCCTTATGTGGAGAATAAATACCAGAAAATTTAATGATGCTTGTAGATGGTCGGGTGATCGAGTTGAGACCCAAGGTGAGGCTAGGGCGGATTTGTAGATGGGTGCTAAATTAGTTTGTTATTCATGTAGCCTAGAAAATATGATAATTTTTGTAAGGGTACATAAATTTTTCTAACCTATACCATACGTGCTTTTGAGATTTTCAATCTAAAATATTTTTTTTGTAAATTGCAACTTAAACTACATATGCATTCATTATTTGCAAGCTCGCCCACAGTTTGACCATACATGTATTCTATTTTGTGGATGAGTATGATCAAAAAGTCGGCGAGCGTGCAAATAATGATGTATATGTAGTTCATGTTTTTACCAAAAAAATACTTTAGTTTGAAAATCCCAAAAGCACGTATAGTACAAGTTGGGTCTTCAAACCCCATCGAACAAAAAAGGTTTAAGTTATGCTTAGACTATATTTATCCGTGACCCCGTTGTTGGGTCACGAAGATAAGACATAAAAAAAAGGGAAAAAGTCATCAAATATGGCGACCTAGGTCACAATGTGACCTTGGGTCGCGACCCAGGTCACAAGACCTTGGGTCGCGACCCGGTTGTTGGTTAAAAATGAGACACTTATCTAACTTTTATTGGACAAGTGTATTTTTTTTAAAAAAAAAAAAAGATAAAAAAATGTTAAAATTCATATTTTTTCATGCTCTACAAATAGAGACCACATTTTATATATTTTGGAACATAATTGTAATTTTTGAGTAAATAAAATTAAATAAATATTTTAGGTTGGGTTGTGTTAGGGATAAAGATTATTTGAGTTGAACTGTTAGGTTGGCTAGGTGGAAGAGAGAGAAATAATTTTTAATTATTAAGTTGAGTTAGGTTAGGTTGTTAATAAAGATAGTCTTAAGAAACATTTATATCATATTCGCATAAGAACACAAAAAACCTTCCAAAAATATTGACCAACACAAAATAAGGTCAGCTTGTTTGCATTACAATCATAAAACTTCAAAATGGTGGTTAATTTTTTGTTTTCCCCCACTGTTCACAAAAATGTACAGCAGATGAAAATCTTGTTAGCTGTTGATCGAAAATAATCAAAATATAGATAATAGCACCCTCTATTCACTAACTTGCCAGAGGGAAAAACTTCTTCAATCCCACAGCAATCGGCATGCCTAAGAACCCGATGAAAGTGCAGATAAACCATTGGATCAAGGTCAAAGGAGTCGTGTTGGCAAATGTCCCAAGGTACTCGACGATTATTATCTGGAAAAATACAGTCGAACCAAGAACCGAGACAAACACATAGTTGTCCAGCATGCCGGTGAGCACGTTTACTTTCTCCATTTCCCGCGAGTTCACCTCATTAAAGAGCTGCATGAAAATGGAGAATAAAAAGAGAAGTATTTAGAAAAAGAAGCAATACAGCCCATGCATTTTCGTAACTTTGTTTCAGTGATCCTTTTCATCAATCTTACCAATTTGTATTAAATCAGGTTGTATCACATATGGTGCTTTTTAGAAAATTTTAACCTAGTTAAGAAAAACGTTACCTGGCAAAAGACGAACGTATTGAAGATAATGGTGTTTAGGACCAAATCAGAGTCTGAGCTGCCATGTAGCCCAAAAAATGTATTCCCGTAAGCCTGAAGGAGCCATATGACGAGAAACTGATACAAAGACTGTCCCAAGATGTTCCTCCACATGACCGCAGTTATAAAGTTTCCCTTTCTCCCCACAGGCGATTTCTTCATTAATTCGTCGTTTGGAGGCTCAGTGGCAAGTGCAAGTGCGCCAAGTGTGTCCATAATCATGTTCACCCAAAGGAGCTGAACAGCAGTCAGAGGTGCACTTCCTGAAAACACCATTTGTTCCAAAGGTTCTAAATTAATTGCCTAAAATTAATTTGTGTCTGCTTTAAGGATAATTACAAAGAGACCTATGAGGTTTGATAAATTTAATAGACATCCAGAAGAAATTAGGATTTTTTTCTCCCAAAAAAACCTAAAAAATAAAAGAAAAGAAAATTGAAGTTAGATTCTGCATAAAATTTAAGGGGGTGGCTAATGTTTTTACAAGTATCAGATGGCTTTCTGATTAATATTTGCTTATGAAACAATAAAATAAAGTGCAGGATCAAACATCAAGGATATATTTTGCAGTTTACGTAAACTTCTACGTGCTTTCAGAAGAAATAAGTGTAAGAGGTGTTTTGCAATTTTCGGAGATGTTGGGTTCTTCAGTAATTAAGATAAACCTCAGGGATAGTTCTTGTAATAAATCTTTAACTGGACTGAGTGCATTCCTGATCTAGATATCAAAGGGTTAAGTTACCGGTCAAACAAGCCGAAGTGAAGTTCACGACCAGGGCAACAATGTTAACCGTTAGTTGGAACTGGACAAATTTTTGGATGTTTACATACACCGAACGTCCCCACTTGGCTACAGTCACAATAGTCGAGAAATTGTCGTCGAGAATTATAACATCAGCACTCTCCTTAGCCACCTGAGTTAAATCACAAAACAGAAGTTACCAGATCAATATAACGAAAAATGTGGCAACAAAATACATGAGCTGCAATATTGGATAATTTGAATGGTTGGAAAATTTTAACTCGGATGAGTTAAAATTCAACAAAAAGCATGTGTGGTTTTCCAGCTAAAGGAACATGCTATCCAGTCCAGAGTGGCATAAAAAATATTTTACATCAACAATTACAAAATTAGCAAACAGTGAAAAAACAAAAACAGTGACAGCTTTTTAGTCAGAGAAGTATTATACATACATACTACACCAAACAAACTTTTGTCAGATAAAATGCTTTTGTTGTTGGCAAACTCCAAAGAATGAAAAGGTAAATTTCAGCTGGAGCTGAAAAAGCGGCAGAAAACTTTTGAAAGGCAACGCAAGCGAACCATCACAAACACTTATGCCAGGAGATCTTTTATAGCTCGTTAGCAATAAACACTAAATTTCAGCATTATACTGAACCTCTCCATAATTAATGGGTGAAATAGACAGTCCACCAATGTACTGATTTGTGAATTTAATCATACATATCAATTTGCTTACTAGGACATTATTACACATGATTTGGAGCATAATTCACTAAGCAGCCCATGAAAATTACCTCAGTCCCAGCGATGCCCATAGCAAGTCCGATATCCGCTTCGTGAAGCGCAGGGGCATCATTTGTTCCATCTCCAGTTACAGCAACAACCTCACTAAATGTGGTTCTCAAATGTTTCACCAATGTATGCTTGTCCAATGGCGACGAACGAGCCATCACCTGAAACAATAATAATAATAATAATAATAATAATAATAATAATAATAAAAAAACAAGCACCAATCAACATATGCACAATATCATTATATATACCAATTAATCAATTTGGATTCTAGTTAGTCCTAAAATATTATGTCTGAAAAAAGTATACAATGTCCTAATTAGTTCAACTATAAGATTTGAAATAAAGGAGATATTAAAGGGTCTTTGATTTTTTTTT